GACAAGAGACGAGGGGGACCAGGCAGGACGAGACAAGAGACGAGGGGAACCAGGCAGGACGAGACAAGAGACGAGGGGGACAAGGCAGGACGAGACAAGCGACGAGGGGGACCAGGCAGGACAGGCAGACGGGCGGGTTGACATGACAACAATCTGGCAAAGAGTGACTGAGAGGCTGGAGTTTATAAAGTGGCTCAATCAGAGGCAGGTGAGGGGAGTAGGCTGAGAGAAGGGGACAGGAGAGAAGGGGCAGAGACCTTTTACTTCTTTTGCATTTTCAAAGATAAAAAAGTTTTTTTGTGATCAAATTTGTATTGATATTCAAGATATACATTAACAAAATCAACCATAAATTACAATGAATACACACACATACATATATAAATATATACAGTATATATGCACACATACGCCCCCACACACACACAATTGGCCATACCCACCCTCATGACACATCATATAACTCGGCAAAAGATCAAAAAGTTGTTGTTTGATTCTGACTAACATCTGGTTGAGATGTTTATTGACTCAGATTTGAGCTCTTTGATTCCTGTTTGTTATGATGGGTTCTCGTCATATTTGAGTTTGACTCTCGTCTCTTTGTATCTTCGTCTCTTTGTCACCTTGTCTCCTCGACTCTTCGTCTCTTTGTCTCGATGTCTCTTCGACTCTTCGTCTCTTCCTGGTCGTCCTCCAGGTGGACGGCCGGACGGTGACCACCATGGAGCTGAAGCTATGCGTCGAGCACCACGACCTGGAGGCCGCCGAGGCGCTCGTCAGCATGAGCTTCTGGGGTCAGAGGTCGCACAAGCCCCGCCCACTGACCCCCACCTCCGACTCCTGTGACTCCACCCACCTCCACCAGGAGGGGGGGGACGCCCCCAAAGACCTGATCGCCCTGTCGTCACTGGTGAGGAGCATCATTATAGTCACAATCAATAATTCACTTTATCTCTGTTATTAAATAAATGGAAATATTTCATATTATATATCGTATTATATTTTAATAGTATATTAACATTTAATATAATTATATATTTATATATAATAATTTATAGGGCTGCAGCTAACGACTGTTTTGATAATCGATGAATCTGTTGTTTTATTTTCTTAATATTGTCTTTTATTAAAATAACATGATGTACAGTGCAATATATAAACATGTATATACTTATATATAAATATATTTATATAATGTATTAATAGTAATTATAATAATATAATATATAATTATTATTGTCATACTCGTCGTTGGCTGCCATGAAAAGTAGCTAAATGTTCTGTTGATTGATTGATTGATTGATTGATTGATTCCTCCGTCAGTGTATGACTCCGCCTCACAGTCCGAGCTTCGTTGAGGCCTCCGCCACCTCCGCCCTAAGCCCCGCCTCCAGGCCGGTCTTACCCCGCCCTGTCCTCGTCGCGGGCCCCGCCCTCCTCCTCAGTGACTCCTCCTTCGCCGCACAGACCTCAGCTCTTCCACCTCAGACGGAGTCGTCGTCCCGTGTGGCTCCGCCCACCAGAGCGATGGTCACCAGCGTCATCCGCCACACTGCCGACAGCCTCGGCGTTCCTCCGCCGACGGAAACCTCCACGCCGCCTCAGCCTCCAGAGACACTTCCAGAGGAGAAGGCCGGACCTCCTCCTCCTCACTCCTCCCCGATCTCCTCCTCTCCGGTCTCCTCCTCCCTGGTCTCCTCCTCTCCGGTCTCCTCCTCTACGGTCTCCTCCTCTCCGGTCCTCTGCCAGGTTTTCCCGGTGAGCAGCCGGACCGGGATGATCTCCGCCTTCGTCCAGGCTCCGGTTCAGGTGCAGACTCACCTGGTGGGCTCCGCCATGCCTCAGGGGACCGTGATGTTTGTGGTCCCCCAGGCGACACAAGGCCCACACACCCAGATCATGACGTTGGGCAACACTAAGCTCCTCCCCCTGGCGCCGGCCCCCGTTTACATGCCGACGGGAGCGAGCGGCGGCGCCGCCTCGCAGGTCGACTTCTCCCGCAGACGAAACTATGTCTGCAACTTCCCCGGCTGCAAGAAGACCTACTTCAAGAGCTCCCACCTGAAGGCTCACCTGCGCACACACACAGGTGAGACATGATGTCACTTCCTGTTTGCTTTTGTTCTCTGTCCACTAAAAAAACACGTAGCTACAGACGTGGGGACAACACGATGATGTCGAGCAGGTTTAATGTTTAGCCTAGCATGTTAGCATGCTAATGTTAGCATGTTAGCATGCTAACGTTAGCTAACTGTCAGTAAACACAGTTCAGACTGATTGATGACGACGCTGTGATGAAGAGGATCAATAAGTGATGACATCACCATGTTTACTTTGTGATCAAAGAGCATTAAAAATAACTCTTCTCCTCTTCCTCCTTCCTCTCCTCCTCTCCTCTCCTCTCCTCCCCTCTCCTCTCCTCTCCTCTTCCTCCTTCCTCTCCTCTTCTCCTCTCCTCCTCCTCTCCTCCTCCTCCTCCTCTCCTCTCCTCAGGTGAGAAGCCGTTCAGCTGTCACTGGGAGAGCTGTGATAAGAAGTTTGCTCGGTCTGACGAGCTCTCCCGTCACCGCCGTACTCACACCGGAGAGAAGAAGTTTGTGTGCAGCGTGTGCGACCGGCGCTTCATGCGCAGCGATCACCTGACCAAACACGCCCGGCGTCACATGACCGCCAAGAGGGCGTCGTCGTGGCCCGCCGAGACCCGGGACCTCCACAAAGTGGCCCTGCCCAAGGGCCAGAACAGGGGCCCCGCACTTCCTGTCGGCGTGCTGGTCTCCACTGCCAACTGACAGGGCAACTCAGGACCCCCCCCCCCATCGAGGGCGGGGCTTAAAACTGTGACTGTCAATCAGCTCCACATCTGGAGGATCGTTTTTCTACAAATCAAAACTCTGCTGGTTAAACAAAGTGAAGACGGTCGCTGAGCTCCGGCTGCGTCTACGTCCGCTTCATTTTCAACGGGTTACTGTGGCATGAAGACGGTGCTACAGACTCACCGGCGCCCCCCTGAGTATGAAACATTCATTACGCTAGAGGAAAGGTTGTGTTCTCTACGGTGGCCTGAGTGGGACATCTCAGCTGTATTTTGAGCCTAATGCTAACGTTAGCATATTAACATGATTACATCTGATGCTACGTCAACGAGCTGATGTTTAGCGTGTTAACAAGCTCACAGTTAGCATAACACTTAGCTTGTTAGCCAACTTTAATATGCTGACATCTGTACAGTTAGCATGCTAATGTTAGCATTTAGCTTGGAAGTGCCGCAGATTTGTTAAAAGTTAACGTTTTAGTAGCTGGATGTAAGTTCTAGTTCAGCTTTAGTTTAACCAAATCGACCCAGAAGTTTACACATTTTAAAGTTTTTATACTTGTATAAGCGTCATTGTACTTCATATTCCAAGTCAATACATAAACAGATTTGAACACTTGTTTAGTGTTTTCATGTGTTTCAAAACACTTAATTTACCGCCACGGTTTTCAGAATAAAGTAAACATGCCACAGTAATTAAACAATAAAATAATGAAGATGAAGGTGTTCCGATGTAGAAGCGATGTAGACGGAGCCGGAGGACCGAGCGAGCGTCTCGTTCTGCTCAGGACATTTTAATCCCAACCAACTCACCGGAGGAGGAGGAGGAGGAGGAGGAGGAGGAAGGTGACAGGCTGCTATTCATCCACGGACAGAAACAAACAGAAACCTGACATTGCACTGGATTTCTTTGTTTTTGTATAAACATGTTTACTTCATGTGTAAATGTCACGTTTAGCTTTAATATTATTATGCACTCTTTTTATTATTATTTTGCCAAAGCCTCCATGAATCGTGCGTGCTTCTATTGTTGGCCAACTTCTGTTCATTTGTGACTGTAAATATATTGTAAATATATTGATATCTATATTGAATGTTAACGTGTATTCCAATCTGCATTTATTGATCTGTTAAAGATGTCAGTGGACAGTGTTCCTCACTGTGATACTACCTACTATTCTTTGCTTTACACGTTATAATTATTATTTAATAAAACATTTGTTGAGGACAAAGTGATGTTTTTGTTTTTTGATAGCTTGATTTGTCCCCTAGCATAGCCAGTAAGAAAAATACCTCGTTATTAAAAGTTATTCTCAATAATAAAGGCTTATATCGGAATAATCCTCATTTCTGGACGTTTGCCTGTAAGCGATGGTGAAGAATATGACTTTTATAATAAAACGTTACCACGAACATGTTGTCTTTCTATCAAGAAACAGTTTGTTTTATTTTTAGGTTCTTTTAGATTAAATTATCACACAGAAGGATGTACTACAGGATGTAGTTAGCTTAGCTTAGCATAAAGACAGGTAGAAAGCAGAATGTAGTTAGCTTAG